CCCCGTCTCCATCCCATCCCCGGTCCCGGTGCCCATCCAAACCCCGTCTCCATCCCATCCCCGGTCCCAGTGCCCATCCCAACCCCGGTCCCGGTGCCCATCCAAACCCCGTCTCCATCCCAACCCCGGTCCCGGTGCCCATCCCAACCCTGTCTCCATCGCATCCCCGCTCCCGGTGCCCATCCCATCCCCGTTCCCGGTGCCCATCCCATCCCCGGTCCCCGTCCCCATCCCAACCCCGCTCCCGGTGCCCATCCCCGATCCCCGTCTCCATCCCATCCCCGGTCCCCGTCCCCATCCCAACCCCGCTCCCGGTGCCCGTCCCCGATCCCGGTGCCCATCCCATCCCCGGTCCCGGTGCCCATCCCATCCCCGGTCCCCGTCCCCATCCCAACCCCGGTCCCGGTGCCCGTCCCCGATCCCGCCCCTCACCCTCCTCATCCCCCGGCCGCCGCCGCCATTTTCGTCCTTCCCGCGCTCCGTGACGCGCCCCGCGCGCCGCTGACGTCACGGCGCCGCTGACGTCACGGCGCGCGCCGCCATGGCCGCCGCGGCGGAGCTGGCGCGGCCGCGGGCGCTGTTCCTGGCCGGGCTGGCCGCGGTCTACATCGCCGCCTTCGGCTCGCTCTACGTGCAGATCCCCGGTACCGCCGCGGGGAACGGGCAAGGGGCCGGGGGAACCGGGCAGGGACGGGGGAACCGGGACAGAGCCGGGAGTGCGGCCGGGGGAGCCGGGATAGGGACGGGAGTGGATCCGGGGAACCGGGATAGGGATGGGAGTGGGGCCGGGGAACCGGGATAGGGACGGGGGAACCGGGATAGGGACGGGAGTGGGGCCGGGGGAACCGGGATAGGGATGGGGGAACCGGGATAGGGACGGGAGTGGGGCCGGGGGAACCGGGATAGGGACGGGGGAACCGGGATAGGGACGGGAGTGGGGCTGGGGGAACCGGGATGGGGATGGGGGAACCGGGATAGGGACGAAGTGGGGCCGGGGGAACCGGGACAGGGACGGGGGAACCGGGACAGAGCCGGGAGTGCGGCCGGGGGAACCGGGATAGGGACGGGGGAACCGGGATAGGGACGGGAGTGGGGCCGGGGAACCGGGATAGGGACGGGAGAACTGGGATAGGGACGAAGTGGGGCCGGGGGAACCGGGACAGGGACGGGAGTGGGGGCGGGGGTACCGGGATAGGGATGGGGGGACCGGGACAGAGACGGGAGTGGATCCGGGGGAACCGGGATCGGGCTGGCGGAACCGGGACAGGGACGGGAGTAGGGGCGGGGGAACCGGGATGGGGATGGGGGAACCGGGATAGGGACGGGAGTGGGACCGGGGAACCGGGATAGGGACGGGAGTGGATCCGGGGGAACCGGGATAGGGATGGGAGTGGATCCGGGGGAACCGGGATAGGGATGGGAGTGGGACCGGGAGAACCGGGACAGAGCCAAGAGTGGATCCGGGGGAACCGGGATAGGGATGGGAGTGGGGCCGGGGGAACCGGGATAGGGATGGGGGAACCGGGACAGAGCCGGGAGTGGGGCTGGGGGAACCGGGATGGGGATGGGGGAACCGGAGCAGAGCCGGGAGTGGGGCCGGGAGAACCCCGGGAGAAACGGGATAGGGATGGTGGAACCGGGACAAGGATGGGAGAGTGGCCGGGGGAACCGGGATAGGGATGGGTGAACTGGGATAGGGATTGGAGAACCGGAGCAGAGCCGGCATAGGGATGGAGGAACCGGGACAGAGCCGGGGCAGGGATGGGGGACCGGGATAGGGCTGGGGATAGGGACGGGGGAACCGGGATGGGGCGGGGAGTGCGGCCGGGGGAACCGGGATAGGGATGGGTGAACTGGGATAGGGATTGGAGAACCGGAGCAGAGCCGGCATAGGGATGGAGGAACCGGGACAGAGCCGGGGCAGGGATGGGGGACCGGGATAGGGCTGGGGATAGGGACGGGGGAACCGGGATGGGGCGGGGAGTGCGGCCGGGGGAACCGGGATAGTGGGGAAATCTGGGGTTAACCCCGAATTAGGTTCCATTTTTGGGAAATAAATTATGGAAAGGCCCCCCCTGAGACCCCCCAGCCCCGAGGGGCTGCCGCGGGGAGTTGTAGCCCTGCTTTTACCCCGCGCTGGGTAAACGTGGCGCCGCGGCAGGGCTGTACGGGCGCCGGGGGCTGCTGCCGGCGCGGCGCGTGCTGCGGCCGGCGGGCCGGGGGCTGTGGCAGCAGCTGCAGGACGTGCCCACGCTGCTGTGGCTGGGCCCGCGCCTGGGGCTGGACACGGAGCAGGCCATGGAGCTGCTGTGCCTGCTGGGCACGCTGGGCGCCCTCGGGGCGCTGCTCTGCGACGCGCTGCGGGACTGCCTGCTCTTCGCCACGCTCGCCGCCTTCTACCTGTCGCTGTACCAGGTGGGGGGACAGCCAGGGGACAGGGGGTACAGCCCAGGGGACAGTGAGGAGAGAGGGGACAGGGGGGGACAGCCAGGGGACAGTGGGGACAGCCAGGGGACAGCGGGGACAGTGAGGAGAGAGGGGACAGGGGGGACAGCGGGGACAGCCCAGGGGACAGCCCAGGGGACAGCGGGGACAGTGAGGAGAGAGGGGACAGTGGGGACAGCGGGGACAGCCCAGGGGACAGCGGGGACAGTGAGGAGAGAGGGGACAGGGGGGACAGCCCAGGGGACAGTGAGGAGAGAGGGGACAGGGGGGGACAGCCAGGGGACAGCGGGGACAGCCCAGGGGACAGCAGGGACAGCCAGGGGACAGCAAGGACAGGGGGGACAGTAGAGACAGCAGGAGACAGTGGGGACAGCCAGGGATAGGGGGGGACAGTGAGGACAGCGAGGACAGCCAGGACACCCAGGGACAGCAGGAACAGTGGGGACAGCAGGGACAGAGGGGACAGCGGGGATAGGGGACACAGCAGGGGATAGTGGGGACAGCCAGGGTACAGAGGGGACAGCAGGGATAGGGGGGGACAGTGAGGACAGCCAGGACACCCAGGGACAGCAGGAACAGAGGGGACAGCAGGGATAGGGGAGACAGCAGGGGATAGTGGGGACAGTGAGGACAGCCAGGGGACAGTGAGGACAGCAGGAACAGCAGGGCGCTGGCTCGTCCTGCCCGCTCCTGGTGTGCTGAGGGAGGCACAGCAATGGAGCCAGGCAATGGTTGGGGTGGGAAGGGGCTGTGAATCCCAGCCCGGTCCAGCCCCCGCGGGCAGGGACACCTCCTGCCGTGCCTGAGGCCACCCAGCCCGGCCTGGAGCTGCAGAGGGGCTGGGGACAAGGATGGAGGGACAGGACCCAGGGAATGGCTCCCACTGCCAGAGGGCAGCCATGGATGGGAGATTGGGAATGAGGAATTCCTGGCTGGGCTGGGATTGCCAGAGCAGCTGGGGCTGCCCCTGGATCCCTGGAATGTCCAAGGCCAGGCTGGACACTGGGGCTGGAGCAGCCTGGGACAGTGGGAGGTGTCCCTGCCATGGCAGGGGTGGCACTGGAGGAGATTTGGGTCCCTTCCCATCCAAACCGTCTCAGGATTCCCTGGATCCTCCCTGGGGCTGGAGCTCCAGTGGGTCAGAGCCGGGTGTGGGGGGAGGAGGTTTCACTTCCCTCTGAATTCAGGAAATTAAGGAAGGATAAATGATCTGTGTGAGGCCATCCCTCCCAGGGGCGGCTGTCACCTCCCAGGGCTGGCTGTCACCTCCCTCTTCTCCTTGGCCCAAATTCCCGTGCCAGGGGGGCCCCAGGGGTCTCTCCCGTGGGGAAGGGTCTGGGGGTGTCAGACCCCCCCATCTGAGCCCCCCGCCCGCTCCCTCTCCGCAGGTGGGACAGGTCTTCCTGTACTTCCAGTGGTGAGTCCGGCCCCCTCCCCAGGGATTTTGGGGGGCTCGGGGCTGGGGAACCACCCCGGGACCCCAGGGTGGGGGGCACAGATGGGGCAGGGGGCACAGAGGGTTTTGGGGAGTGGAATGGGGGGTTCTGCGGACCAGGATGGGGGGCACAGAGGGGTCTGGGGAGTGGGACAGGGGCCCAGTGGGGTGGGGGACACGAGGGGCTCTGGGGACCAGGACAAGGGGCTGCCCAGGGGGCAGGGGACACAGTGGGGTGGGGGACACGAGGGGCTCTGGGGACCAGGACAAGGGGCTCCACAGTGGGGTGGGGACCTCTGGGGACCAGAGTGAGGGGTGGGGGGGGCTCTGGGGATTGGGGTGGGGGCACAGTGGGGTGGGGGGCTCTGGGGACAAGGACAGGGGCTGTGGGGACAAGGACGGGGGCTGTGGGGGACTTTGGGGACTGAGGCACATCAGGGTGGGGAGCCCCACAAGCATGGCATGACTGTGTCCCCAGCCCCACGTGTGATGTGTGGCCATGTCCCCAGCCCCACGTGTGATGTGTGGCCGTGTCCCCAGCCCCACTTTTGCTGTGTGGCCATGTCCCCAGCCCCACGAGTGGGATGTAGCCGTGTCCCCAGCCCCACATACAGGACGTGGCCGTGTCCCCAGCCCCATATACAGAGGATGGCCCTGTCCCCAGCCCCACTTTCATTGTATGGCCTTGTCCCCGGCCCCACATAAAGGGGATGGCCATGTCCCCAGCCCCATATATAGATCATGACCATGTCCCCAGCCCCACA